AGAGCGTAGAGTTGGTGCCTTCAGAGCAATAGTTAAATCCCACCTTCCAGTGCCTGTGGCTTCAATAGCTCGTGGTGCACCTCGCTTTCAAGAACCCTATTGCTATACAGAGATAAATTCTCATTTTATGGACACCCTCCATCTTTGCATTGAGTGTTTGTGGTTGTTGGGGCTGTTGCCTGCTGTGCTGGCACTGCCTGTGCTGCTCCAGCTGGGACTGCAGCTCCTTTCCCAGACAGCACAGGCGTGCAAGGTGCCAGCACCCAGGGACACTGCCCATCCTTCCCTGGCCTTGCAGGGAAGCCCCCTCATAAAAACAGAAAATGCAGAGAAATAATGCTGCTTATTCTTTATCATGTGAGTTGTCTCTTCTGCCTTCAGAGCCCTGGGGTTTTCAACCCCTGGAAAAACAAATGAGTCCAGCAAAGGGCACTGATGAGCAATTCTGTTCCTAGATGAGACAGAGTATGAGTACAGTGGAAGTGAAGAGGAGGAGGAGGAGAATGACTCCGGAGAGCCCAGGTAAGAATCAGCACTGCATTTCTGCACTTGTATCTCTTTAACTCTGTATAAAGTCAGCTTGGATTACAGACTGCTATGAACTAGAAATGGAAGAAGGACAGTTTGAGCACTGAGTCCCATTCCCTGGCAGAACAGAGTATATTCCCTCTGCTAGATGGAGCGTGGGTATAAACTGATGCTACAGATCACTGTAGCCAAAAGCTCAGGAAGAAGACTGGGTACCCCATGGCCTGTGGGATCTGCTGCGCAGTGTGGTGCTGCCATGGGAATGTGGGTATTTAGACACAGAAAAAATGTGAGGTGAAATTAAAGAAGACTCTTTAAAAAATACAGTTCCTTACATCCAAGTGTAACTCCTTATTGCCATGTAACTTTTCACCATGAAACCTCCCCGGTGCTGCTGCAGGCGCAGTAGGGCTGGAACTTTCTTTGGTGACGTTTTTCAGAGCCGTTGTAATTAGTATCAGGTTATTCCATTATTTGACTGAGATAATGTAGTGTTTTAATAGCTGGCAATGATTCATGCTAAATGTGCTTTGTGAACAGCTAAATATAGTGTATGGCACTGCAGCACAAGAGGCTTTGGTTAGAAACTTAATGTAAAGGAAACCTTTAGCAAATAAATTACTGGTGAGCCATGAACAGAGTGCTGTGTCTGCTGCCCTGCCCAGACACTTGTGGTCCCCCCCCCATCCCTCCATCAGCTGCTGCCCAGGCTCTGATGGGTGTTGGGATGAAGGGGAGAGGGGCTACGGTGGAAAATCATAGTCATAGAATGGTTTGGGTTGGAAGGGACCTTAAAGATCATCCAGTTCCAACCCCCCTGCCAGCAGCAGGGACACCTTCCACTAGACCAGGTTGCTCAAAGCCTCATCCAGCCTGGCCTTGAACACTTCCAGGGAGGAGCAGCCACAGCTTCTCTGGGCAACCTGTGCCAGTGTCTGACAATCCTCACAGGGAAGAATTTCTTCCTCAGATCTCATCTCAATCTCCCCTCTTCCAGTTTGAAGCCATTTCCCCTTGTTCTATCACTACCTGCCCTTGTAAAAAGTCCCTCCCCAGCCTGCCTCTGGCAAGAAGTTTAAGGATGAGGATTGAGGATCTTCTCTGATGCTTCTCTCCTGTGCAGCTCCATCCTAAACCTGCCCGGGGAGTCGACGCTGAGACGGGATTTCTTGAGGCTGCAGCTGGCGAACAAGGAGCGGTCAGAAGCGCTGCGCCGGCAGCAGCTGGAGCAGCAGCAGCGGGAGAACGAGGAGCACAAGCGGCAGTTGTTGGCCGAGAGACAGAAGCGGATCGAGGAGCAGAAGGAGCAGAGGCGAAGGCTGGAGGAGGTAACTGGCCAGAGCAGAGCAATGGGCTGATAAAGGCTGGTTTGGGGTGAAACAGTGAGATTTCTGGTAGCGGGTCACAGTGAGTGTTCTCAGCCTGGTTTAAGAAGATCACATCCTAACCTCTCTAGTAGGTAACCCCAAATGGTTTGTTACACTGGACAAACCCCCCTGCTCATCCTTTTTGCAGACCCACCTCCAGCCACTCTCCTCACCACGTTTAAGTGTTGCCCGCTCTTGTGAAGGTAATAGAGTTGGTAAATAAACCCCTGAAATACCAAACTTAAGGGGATCCCTGAAACTATTGAGCAGAGTTAGCCCAGTGTTGGGGTAGTAGCTGTATTCAGTCGAGGTGGGCACAACTCCTTCTGGTCCAGGAATCTGTTATTTGCTTCTGTGGGCTGTTACGTTTGAGAAGAAGCTGAACAGCTCCATTTGCCACTTGTGTCCCCTTTAATCCCCAATTTCAACTTTAGTCCTTCCATTCCCTGCCAATTACAATTTCTCTTGCAGGGGAGGGGCAGATGCCTGCCTGACTTGTGCAATGATCCATATGTACCCTGAAGCCTAAGATTTCATTGCCCTTGTCTTAACGTACCAGCTACAAATGCAGTCGGTCATAAAATTACCCACCCTATTTAAAGTCCAGCTGCAGGATTTGACTGGGTGACTTTGGGTGTCCCAGAGCTGCACAGCCTGGCTGTGTACTCTGTAGAAAGCACTCAGTTTTGGTTTAACTCCTGGTTCTTGGATTGCAGAAGTCCACCAAAACATAAGGGAGCTTTTCCCAATCCTTTTGGGTTTTTGATGGGGTTTTGCATAAAGACACCCATTGCCTCACGCTGAGCTCATCACAAGTGTCTGGGATTGAAGGGTTCATATGTTAAGGGTAATTAAATTAGCTTTCTGAAGAGGTCACAGATATGTCTGAAAAAAGGACTTGTGGTAAATGGGCTATTAGAGCAGCCACCCCCTGAGTTTGCATGAATGTCATGTTTAACCTGATTCTCTGTGGGCTGAGTGATGCCCCCAGGCCAGGGGTGCAGGCAGGAAGGAATTTCAGGCAGCTGGTGGTGATGCTGATTGGTGATGGTATGGCCCCTCTTCGAGGTGGTCCTCTGAGCTGCTCCAGGGTGAAAACCAACAGGGCAAATCCCAGGCAAAGCATTTTTTCAGTCTGGTAAATATGTAGGTCTGTCAGTGTTGTCAGAGCACAGAGCATTGCACATTCCATACATTGCAGGTCAGGCTTTACTTGCATCCTGCACCCTTCCCAAAGCCAGCGAGCTGCTTTGAGAGAGGATGGGGTTTGCATGCAGACACACCCCGAAATCCCCCACCCCACTATATCTGAGGGCTGAAGCCTGAGTCTGCCTTTGTCCCTCTCTGCTTGCTGCAAGCAGCACAGCAGCAGAACAACAGCAGAATAAAAGCAGACACCAGATTAGCTGCAATCCTGTAATGAATACAATGCTTGCTGCTGTATTAATATGTTCTCTTCACATTGAAGAAAATTGTTCTCTCTCTTTACCACTTCCCAGGCAGGTTTTGAATGGAGGACTAATCCCCTTGCTAAGCTGGCCAGCTCTGCCCTGAGCATTGGAAGTGCTGCCTTGTGGGGCTGGGAATGAGCACAGCCCCCCCGAGCTCTGCCAGTCCCCCTCGTCCTTTCCCCAATGTCATTAAAAGCTAATGCCACCATAGCCAGGACTGATTAAAATCAATGCCTCTGTTTCTGGTGGCTCTAACAGCCCCCCTGGGCTCTTCACCCACTGCTTTCTTCCCAGCTGCTTTACAGTTTTTGGACCTAAATTGAAAGGGAGAGATCTGCTGGAGCAAAGCTGGGAAAGAAGGTACTTTCGTTCTCCTGCTGTATCAGAGAACTGGGGGAAGAAGAGGCATCCTCTGCCTTTCCCAGCACAGGTCCACTGACGTGGTCAGCCCCATGGGTTCAGCCAGGATGAGGGCAGGGCAAACAGCTATGTACTGATGGCTGTGGTGGCCCCAGCATCTTCTCAGGTGCCCATCCTCTCAGGTCTGTCTAGGTGGGTTTAGCCTCACCTGCATCTCCAGCCACAGAGTAAAATGACTTCTCCTCTCTATTAGACACTATTTGCATTGGCAAGGAAGAAACGTAGCCAGGTTGCTATGGTGAGGATTAAAGCAGGAGTCCTTGAAGAGGTACAAACCTTCTGTTGCAAATGTGGTGGGTTGTGGCAGCAGTTAGGAAGGATGCTCCCCAGGTGTTGTGTATCTGCCGTGGGCTGCTGTAGGAAAAACAGAAAAATAGTAGAGGTATTGATTAGGAACCAGAAAGTTTAATTGCTGCTGCAGGGAGTGGGCTAGAGGAGCTGCACAGGCAGCTGTGAGCATCCTCCCCTTGGGCTTCCTGCTCATGGAGGAGTCTCAGCATCCACCCTGCGGACATGGGAAGGGCTTTGTACCCCCAGGCTGTCCCACTGTTTCTAGCACAGCCAGCCAGTGGTGGATATAGCTTGCTCTTTATGTTCTTCCTATGTATTTTGGGGCAGGAAGCGTCTGATGGCCAGACAGAGATACCAAAGAGTGGCTGGCACAGCTGTACTGAGTTGGATATCACTGCCCAGAGGCACCCAGCACACTCATCCCTGTCCCTTCTGTTTTGCTTCAGAGAGCAGCACTGCTCCAGCTCTCCCACCCATCACAACAGCACCCAAAGGCTTCAGCAGCAGCCAGGCTGTTGCCTTTTGACCTCTCTGCATTTTCCCACACTAACTTCAGTTGTTGACTCTTGGCTCTGGATTTATTTAGGTTAATGGCAACTTGATTTCTTCCATGCTTCTTTATGGAAGACAGGGTATGTGTCCAATAGAGAGTACTGCACCAGCAGGTCTCTGGGAGGAGAGACCAGTGCAAGGCTCAAATTACTGTATTTTCAAAATAAAGTTGACCTTAAACCCAACAGAGCATCCGAAACAAATAAACACTTGAGGCTGGTGGCTTTTGGGTCTCCTAAGTCAGCCTGTATAGTACTGCCAGGTATTTTACTGTGTTTATGGAAAGAGCTCTGACTCATAACAAGAGGCCATGAAGGTGGCCAGGCTGAGCGAACGTGTCAGCTGTGCCCCAGCACAGCACCAAAAGGATTGACTATGGAGGATGCCAAGCTCAAAAATGCCTGGAATTAATTGGTACTGGAGATGTACAGCAAAAGAGCTGGAGAAAGGCTGTTAGTGGGATGACTGTTCTGTTCCTCTGTCAGAGCAGACTTCAGTACATTTTCTCATGGCTTTCCAATCTTGTTTTTAAATGCTGCCAGGGACAGAGCTCCCACCATTTCTGTTCCCTCACCCTGTGACAGGACAAGGGGCAATGGGCAAAAACTGGAACACTGAAAGTTCCAGACAAACTTAAGGAAAAACTTCTTTACTGTGAGGGTGACAGAGCCCTGGGACAGGCTGCACAGAGAGGGTGTGGAGTCTCCATCTCTGGAGATGTTCAAAACCCACCTGGATACTTTCCTGTGCAACCTGGTGTAGGGATCCTGCTTTGGCAGGGGGGTTGGACTGGATGATCTCCTGAGGTCCCTTCCAACCCCCACCATTCTGTGATGCTGTGATAATGAAGGGATCCCATTTATTCTGTCATCTTGATCCTCCTAAACCAGGATTTCTGAACCTTTCACAGAGTACCTCTCATTTTAGGTCCTTTTTGAGGAAATCCACCATCTCCTAATGTTGCTCCAGCAATAACAGCATATATAAAAAATTCAAGTAAGGAAGTTTGCTGCTGGTCTCCTGATGCACCTCATGCTGCCCCAAGACCTGCTACCATCCTTAGCGTGCCTTCTTGCACCTGTCGGACACTTGAGTCTCCTTTTTCAACAGCTGACCAATTTCCTTCTTTGAGGCTGAATCTTCTTCCAGGCAGCTGGAGAGATTTAGATTTGCAGCTGTCTTTCATTGCAGTGGAAGTAAAAATCCTCAAGCCAGCTTTGAAACTGGGACCTTCATGGGAGTAGAGTTGCAGCTTTGTTTTCCCTCGTGCAGAAAGTTGGTCTGGTGAATTCAAAATGTGCACCAGAACTAACTGGGGAAAAAAAAACCAAACATCAAAAACAAACCCAAAAACCAAAACACGACTTAGAAAATTAAAGATAAATAGATCAAATAGCACTAAGGAAAATATTTGTGTAATGCAGAAGGGTGAATAGGCTTGAAGATATTTTAATTTTTTCCTTGTATATACATATATTGGATATATATAGTTCCCTAATAAGCTCTCCATTTGTTGCTGGCACAGGATGAGCCTTGCTGCACCAGTTTAACCACCAAAACTCCAGCTGAGCTGTAGGAATAACACATCTCCTGGTCAAGAGCGTTAGGGATCCTGCGAGACAAATCTCTGTGCAGACCCCTTGGCAGCAGTGTGCACATGTAGTCAGGGAGGGGTTTACCTAACCTCATTTTCCTGCCGTGTTGGGGATTTTTTTCTTTTCTAGGTAAAAAAACAAATGTCAGATTTTTACAGAGAATGTACAAGGCAGAGCTGAGCATCTTGCTGTTTGCGTGTGAGGTTTCGTTCAGTGCAGCTAGAGAGCTGGATGTTCAGGGGAAAATAAATTACTGCAGCTCCTTTACATGGTAACCAGCAGAAGACAGTCTACTGGAAGCAACGCAAAAAATTTACAGTGATTAATTATAGATAAACTTAGGCTAGATAAAATGGTCGTTGTTATTTTCTTCTGCATAGGCAGGTGTCATACAGCTTGCAGGAACATTTTCATTAAGATGACAACCTCCTCACAGTATCATAGAATCATGGAATGGTTTGGGTTGGAAGGGACCTTCAAGATCATCCAGTTCCAACCCCCCTGCCATCAGCAGGGACACCTTCCACTAGACCAGGTTGCTCAAAGCCTCATCCAACCTGGCCTTCAACACTTCCAGGGAGGAGCAGCCACAGCTTCTCTGGGCAACCTCTGTTCCAGTGTCTGACCACCCTCACAGTAAAGAATTTCTTCC